GCTTTCAGGGCGGACATTGTGGTTAAACCAGAGAAATGAAGATATCCTGAGGAAGCCAGCGGAGATTGAAACTTTTCAGTGACGACGTTGACGTCACAGGTTTTTTACAGCATTTTTCCTTTTTTTCCTCCTTGAACTTGCGCACAATGAGATGAAAATTGACCTTTATGTTTGGCCATGATCCTTGTCTCGTTGCTGAAATCCGGGGCTCGACAGAAGCACGGTGTGTTCCTAAAAATATGTATATATCATTCCCAGACAGACGGGTCGGCATTGGCACGGCATTGGCATGTGCCGATCCGTATTATCTTATCTTGATAAGATATCATTTGGAGATCAAAAACGACCAATATTTCTGTAGTCTGACGGTGCTGACGATTGCTACATAGAAACACCAGTGAGACAAACAGGTACGATATAAACGTTTTCATTCTCATTATTGCCTTCGCCATCTTTCTACTCATATTCGTCATCATTGTCAAGTACCTCTGGAGGTATGACGAAAACACTGCCGATTTGAAGCGCCTTCTCCTCGACCTCAGGATGGCCGGCATAGATGAGTCTAAACTTGGCCCTGAGGCGCAATATGTCAAACGGGCTCGTCTGCTTATCTATCACCATGTTGAAATCGTGCCATCGGCCTTGTTCGAATTCCATCTGAGCGACCTGTTTGGCGATTAGATTCCGGTACGCTTGGACATGAACCTCGATCGATTCAACGCTTTTCTTGATCTGCTGGTGCCACCTGGCTCTTGAAGCGAATCCGTACTCGGCGAGATATCTGCTAAATATCAGAATCTTGTCCCGCAATATAGTTACTACTCGCTTGATCAGTTTGGAATGTACCGCGACCCAAGGCACCGTCTTCTGAGCAGCTCTTGAGTGGCTGTCCAGCGCGCTTCGTGCCTTTCTGCTGAATTCTTCAAACGTGAGATGTAGATCTTGCCCGGGATATGCTGCGAGATGCATCATACCTGCTCTCATCAGCGAAAGTCACTTGGCAAAAGAGGGAACTTGCGCATGGTGCAAACAAACAGACTGTGTTTCTCGAATATTATATCGCCGAGATATTTGCCAACATCCGCTTCTGCCAGGTCGAGTTTCTGTCACAAAGATGAAAAACATCCGGAATATCAGATTATATCGTACCAATGCAGCGTCAAACGCGATGGCTCTCATGCGCTTGATGCCGATAGGTGTCACCATCTTCACTGAGTTAACGTGCAAGTCGACGGGCAACAGGTGAATCTTCTCTTCTGCGCCTTCGTAGCTGAGGCAGCGTTGTACCCAATCAACAAACATATTGCCGCCCGACCTTGTTTCGGAAGTACCAGATCGTTGGCAATGGAATTCTGAATCTAGGTCAGTCATCTGTGGTCAGACAAAGAGGAAAGTTTTCTACGCAGCAAGATTTTCAACAGGGCGATCTCTTGCTGTTCAAGAGAAGTTATTTGATCATCGTAGATAACCCCGAACCAGTCCGAGCAGCTCGTCAAAAGTTCTCGCAATTCACGAGAGTTATAACCGGTGTACTTATTAATCGTCAGAATCTAAGATGAATAGAAAATCAGAGATTTCACCGTTTTGAATTCTCTCAGCGCCTTTTAGATACCAAGGCGTACCTCGACACTGAATGCAGTGGACTTGTATGTTACATCGTCGACATCTGGCTTTTTTCCTGTCGTGAGTATGCTCCAGGTATCGTTAAACCTGCGGTACAGCATCGTTAACGGTTAGACAAGACAGGCGCAGTAAACGCACTCTTTAGACCCTCTCTGTGGCAAATCTTGAGGATATTGCCAGCTACATTCTTTTGCGCGTTTGTGAACCTCATGTTGTCTATATTGTTCTAGTCTGAGACGTTCCGGTTGTTCCTTATAATTGAGATCGAGTATCGCTGTTTGTGATTGAGGAACAGGTCAGATGGATGTTCAAGGAAATACCGACCGAAGGTTTGCTGACAATAGGCAGCTGTCCCAGGCAGCCATTTCGCACCTTTGATCTCCCTTCGTTCCATGAACGACTGGAATATCAATAGCCGGACCAAAGTCGGTAATCCAGATGTCGCCGTCGAAAAACGACTGAATCGTCGATTCCAGCGGGCCTGGGTGTTGGCCGTTTTAACCGCCCCACTCTTGAGGGTCATCTGGAAGGAAGGATTCGAGTGAATCACCTGACTGACTGGCAAATATGCCTTCCACCGATCCCGTTGACCTACCCGAGGACGGATACGCGTCAGACGAAGAGGTTGTAGAAGACGAATGGAATGGCAATCTCGAAGAAGATCTCAACTTTGTACACCAAATTCGCCTTGCCAAAGAGGAAGCAAAAACTATTGGTGCGATGCGCGAGGCCAAGATCCAGGAGAGACTGACTGCAGCCACTGCAACTGCCGATGTCGCTACGTTTCTATACGAACAGATTCCAGAGGATGCCCTGAAGGAGGTGAGAAGGCCCCGCTTTCTGGGAAAACAGCTGAATTTTGGACAGGCAGAAGAAGGGTTCGATTACTTCATGAAGAGGGCCTCGCAAGCCAAGAACATGAAGCGCGACGGCAGTGACGGTACAACAATCTTTGCGTGAGTCTCTTCTCGCAGGCAACTTGTTCAAATCTTAGCCCATTTTGCAGCGTCAAAGACGGAAAGCTTCAGCTACTAGTCCATGGCTGCTCATTCGATCCTCTTCTCTTGGACGAGATTGAGGTCGGCGACAGGAAGATGCAACTGGTCAAGGTTGCCTTTGCTGGCATTTGCTATGGTGCAAATGCTCCAGGAAGACATATTGGCGAGGCATTGACAAAGTAAGTTTTATAGTTTCTCGGTGGAACAATTGGACTCATCTTGTTCAGAGCTATCAAAGAGAACAAGGCCTACGTATCACCGGAGGACATTCATCAAGGTCAGACAATGCTAGGGAGCCTAGGATTGGGCATCTACATCCTCGTGTCCTTTTGGCTGCAAACCCTGTTATTCTATCTCGGCATGACTGGTTGTTTCACGAAATGTCTCGCCGGTCACCTGCAGCAGAAGCATGTCAATCGTCGTGTCGGTGCTCGAGCTGAGGAACACCCCAAAGAAAATTGGAACCATAACATCAGTATTGAATTCGCCACTCACTACAACAACATTATGACCCCATCGCTCCTCCTCTTCATGATGGAGACGATCCTAATCATTGTCACGGGCGCCAATAAAATATTTATCGGAATGAACTGCAGTGTGGTGGATCGAGCGTCGTACAAGATGCTCATAGCTCCAAGCCAACTGTTCATCGTATGGTCGGCCATGATCCACTGGGTCAAGCTCTATGGTATACTACCTCCGAGAGGCGACTATGCCAAATGGGCAATCTTCCGCGCGTTACATGGTGGCATCATTGCTGATTCAACATTGTCCAACATCATCTGTGGTAGCTCTCGTCGTAACCTGACCCGCCAATGGACTCAATTTCCGATGGAAGCTTGGGGAGGATCCGAATATCTGCCGCCGGGTCTCTGGGATCTTCTGTCAGAAAAGGAGAGGACGAGGAGAGAGGATATGAGGAAGCTGCTGAGAGAGAATAGAGAGCCGGGGCTCATGGAATCCAACAGTCGACGACAAGAAAACAACCCTGAAAACAAAGTGCGTCATGTCATGTCTTGTGTTTTGCCGCTGATGTTTCGCCTAAAGGGTTTACCCAGCAAATACGATTATCACTCATCTCGTCCTGCTGTCCAAAAAGTTATGGCAGAACCTCAGGGAATTGCGCTGAAGACGGCAATCTCGAAATTCGAGCTAGAGGTAAATATTTTCGGTCTCAATCTGGTCCCACTAATTCTTTTTTAAGGCATTGTCTGATGATGACGACGACTAGCGGCATCCAGAGCCAGAGCGCCGGCGCTGAGTCCTAGTTTCATGTATGTTGACTCGTTGTACGGAATCGATTCTGTGATTATATCTCAATAACCGCTCAAAAAAAGCTTGTATTCCAATTTGGCAGATGATGAGCAATCCGGCGGCTTTCGGCTTTCTCGTCTGGTATCTTGAAGGCTATATTATGTTTTCAACGGAGAGTTTCGCAATTGGGATGAGCGAATCCGTCAGTCGCATTGGAATTTTTCAAAAAAGATTGTGGACTGACGGTCGCGTTCAACCCCTTTCCAGGCGAAATTAGTGCGTGCCGTGCTTCTGTTTTCTGTTTTGGTCATATATAACGTCTTTTCAGCACCTCGCTCCTTCCTGGGTCGCCTTGTAACCTTGCCGCTGCTGGTCTTTGGCCTTTTGCTTATCGCTCTACCAAGTTTCATCCTTGGAAGAGAGTTTAGCATTGTCTGGGATAAAATGACGAACAGGTCTGGCCTAGATGTACATCTCTTCATTTCCTCGATTTGTTTCAGCCTTTGGACGAGCCTGGTTCACCTTTGCATTCCATGCACCGCTATCCAATACGTCCGCCACTGCCTTCATTAATGACCCCGCTTTCACTGCTGCCAGCTGGATCCAGAGATCCAAGCAACCTAAAATTGGCGCAAAACCAGACCGAGTTGAGCAAGCAAATTGTGGAACTTCGGTCGACGGTAGAGTCACAAGGTCTCCTCTTAAAGCAGCTGCTCCAGACCTTGCAGCGCGATCAAGATGAGGCTTCAGTTTCCAGAAGAAGTAGAAGTAGACAGATGCAGGGCAAGGGGAAGAATAGAAATTCTAGCTAGTATACGGAGTACTTTATTATTGATATTATTCAATTAATTGGACTCGGAAGTATGGGGTTTTAGTGTATGACAAGGATAAAGCATCCTCAAAAGCGAAGCCCGGTTCAAACGAGAACTGGCCTAGTAACGTGCACAACGTGACTGCTTATTTCCACAATCGCGATTTCTGGGCGCAATCCTGAGTGTTTCCTGTCAATTGCCGAACGCTGGAATTATAGCCTCTCCATAATGCCTTCCAAAGCCGAAAATGATCTGGCCAGAATTGACCTCAGAACACTGTACATTACCGGGTCAATCATGACAATGACAAAAATGCTAGCGACGAGATTCGAACTCGCGTGACAAACCTGTCATTGGGAGGCACACCGTGACTTAAATCCAACGCCTTAGACCGCTCGGCCACGCTAGCATTAGAGAAGTGGGCCGCCCATTCTGGACAGAGTGTGATCGTTACCCGATCAAACATGGGCTTGGCTTTCTCTTTGTTTCAACCACCATGGCGTCGCAAACAGCTCTCGCTCCTTTCTCTAGAGAGCCAGATGTGCTCAGTGAGCTCCCTACCGACTTCATCTTACGTTCCAATGAACAGATGGATTTCTATGTTCATTCAAGCCACATGCGAATGGTTTCCCATTCTTTGACCACCTCATCACTGGCAACTTTCCACAAACAACTCTGGGAACTATACCTGTTCAGATTATGGACGTTTTCAGTAAAGCCCTTTGGAAGCTTTTGCTCCTAGCTTATCCTCCTATGGCAGAATACTTATACCATAACAGATCCGGGAGACCTGGTCGAGGTTCATCGAGCTGCACAGACATTTCCATTGTTGAAAGTTATTGCACTGATCCCTCAGACACTCCAAATTTTACTTCAACACCCCCCACGAGACCAGGAATTCATCTTTCCCGAGCGCATTTTTGCCCTTGCATGCAACCTCAGATATCGCTAGTAAACAAGCTGCAAAAGCAACCTCATTACTTCCAAAACTGTCGGACTTTGCAACATGCTTGTAACTCCGGGTGTACAGTACGACGTCCCAGAATTCGACTGTCACAGCTACGACGCTGAATAAGTAAACTTCATCGTTTTCGATCTGCCTGGAGCTCAGGCAGTCATCTCCAACTTGATGTCAAGCAGATGAACATCCTGAACAAACTGGAGGCTCTGCTCTGCTCTGGTGGTCCCTAAAGGGGCATGCCGAGGGTTGTGGACCCTTCTGTGTCCTTTGTATCGGCAGCGAGCACCAAGGGACCTCGAGTCCCTCAATGCAGACATATTCTTCAAAATACATCGACTCGTCAATGAAGTGAGTGCTTATCAACTTTGTGAACATAGGCTGATCCATCGTATTCTAGTACGTTCAACGTATCTCTTTTTCTGGCTCGTAGACAGCTGCCACTATGTAAATTTCAGTACTGTGCCATTTCGCGAGAAATAAATTCAAAACTGCTGTTTCGTTGGAGTGACTTGAGAATCTCCTTGTCAATTCACCGGCAACCTTGACATTATCAGAGAACTCGCCAAAAGTACTTGTAAATATTTCTGCAAGTCAGTTTCCGGCTTTCTCCGGCAACTCAAAAAAGTAGCCGCTTTTCTCCCCTGAAACCCATGGCCCAACCAGTGAACGCACCACGTCCTTTCTATGGTGAGCAAGACATCCTGAGTGGTGTTCCTACGGATTTCATTTTCAGGTCCAACGATGGAGAGCCATATTCACCGCCACATTGGGATCTCCTCATTGGGCCCATATGCTGTCGAACAACAATCCAGCTCAATTAATGCATGGTACCATACCTGTTCACCTGCCTGGCCTCTCCAGCCAAGTTCTGTGGAAGTTGTTGATCCTCGTTTATCCTCCGATGGCCAATTATACAATCATGACAGACATCGATGGTCTGGCAGATGTGAACATCAAACTCATATCACTCAACTCGACCAGGTTCAGCAAGTAATAGGTCGCACTCTTTCCGGTTTCCTTGATCAGCCATCACCATCTATTCATTCCCCTGAACGGATTTTTGCTCTAGCATGTCGTTGTGGCTTGGAAGAGGTCGCTAAAAAGGCTGCCAAGGTAACCCTGTCCTTGAAAGGACCATCCGCTGGGAGTTATACATATTCATCCCTTATTTCCAGCATCGAAGAGGCAGACATCCCGGAATATGAGCTGTTGACAGCCACCGAGCTGAACAGGCTCCATAAATTTCGAGACACCTGCTTCGCCAAAGCGGCTAGGAATATGGCTACCAGCAGCAACTTACTCGACCACGATCATCCCTTTTTCCAAGGTGGCTGTCCCAATGTGCCGGTTTGGTGGATCGCCCAATCAGAGGGTCATTCAGCGGACTGTGGATGCACTATTTCGATGCACGAAGCCAGCGCAAATTGCGCTCCAGCCAGCTGGTTCTCCATCCACATAAGAGCTGATGCAAATTCGGTTTATTCGCGGCTCGATCTTCACGAAATTCGTACAAACATTCAGGCTCTCTCGGGAGAAGCACTGAATATTGTGTCGCGCTGTCCATTATGTTCCAAGCGCGGACCTGGCGACCTGAAGACAGAGAGTCCTGCGATCTGTGCAAGAATTTCTAGTATCATTAACCAGGTTCATCTTATTTTTTTTTGAAAAAAATCCCTCAAGTTAACCAAGCCTAGTTGGGGAACGAGACGACATTTGTCCTACCAAGATAGTCAGACACTCAGTCTCTCGTGCTGGCTGTATTTGTACTTGCCCAATAAATCTCCTTATGTAGAGTAACCTATTTCCTTTTCGGTCAATAGGCAGCGGTTCCGAAAAACGTACAAGTTGACCTTCAAGCTAGTCTCGTTCCCATCCGTTTGGGTGATCCCTTTTGGGACGCGACGTGCCATCAATATAAAACTACGTCCATCATTTTTTTTTCTTCGCTCGCGTGGCATGTGGCACGTGCGACCCCGAGGGGGATCACCCGAGCGGATGGGGACGAGACTACCTTCAAGCTTGTCAGTGGCAGGGCCCCCCTATCGCCACCCTAACGGCAACCACGACAATGGCATCTCCTCTTCAATGGTCCACCGACGGCGTCGCGGCCCAGGAGTTCACTGGTAGCTGCCATTGCGGCAACTTTTCTTTCAAGTTTGAGCACCCTGCTTTCGACAAGGTTCTGCCTGTCTCTTGCAACTGTAGCATTTGCGCCAGCCGTGGATACATTCTAGTGTAAGGATCAGCATGTTTTCTTCGTATATTGTTCACTCATCAAGATCTGCAGATATGTCCCAGGTGATCGATTCAAGTCGACAAAGGGATCTTGGGAACAACTCAGTGTTCACAAGTTCAACCGCAACATGGCCGAGCACAAATTCTGCGCCTCATGTGGTTCTGCAATCGGTCTCACTCTTGGGGCAGATTTAGTGGCAGTCAACCTTCGTGCAGTAGATGGATTTTCTCGTGAAGAGCTGGAGAAGCTGGAGGTCAAAACCGTGGACGGAAAGAGCTGGCAGTGAATACGAAGCAGCGTGTAACAATTTCGCTCCCGAAATACCATTCTTTCTTGTTATCCAAAATACATTGCGAGCTTACAAAGTTATCAGAAGATCTGTATCAAAGGATCAGTATCATGCACTTTTAACGGGTCTGCAACGTACACCACCAACATTGTCTTCGCCTCCTGGACCTTGTCTGACCCTGTAACACCTGTGAGCTGAGATATCTGAGAAATCGAAGAGGAAAAGCGCGCCTTCGGGTAGGTTTGAAATCCTCAGCGGGAGCTTCGTCTATGTACAGCGAATCAGTGTAAGTCATTGCTAAGTGAATTCAGCTTACCCCAGAAATTGCCCAACGACGAATTACCACCGGGTCCCTCGCGAACTCGCCTATATACTTGGTCAGTCTAAAGTATCTGAGAGAAGCTAAGGATCAACCTAGAAGGTTTACTGGAGGGGAAATTGAGACCCTGCTCTTCCTCCTCTTGAGGAGCAGGTTCAGCAGCCTTGGGCGTCTCGGCTACTGCTTCTTTGGGCTGCAGAGAATGAGATATTGCATGAAAAGTGATTCGAGCAACAACATACCAGGGGAGGTGCTGTTGAAAGCGCATCTCCTTCCTGGGCATCTGTGCCAAATATATCGGAATGTGGACCACCTGGAACTGTACGGACACGGCGAGAAGGGATGAAATCAGTGGATCCCGAGGCTTTAAAAGTCAGCTTTCACGCGAGCATTCGATTTAATGTAGCTCACATGGTGGCGCAGCAGCCGGCGCTGGCCTCTCTCCTGGCTTAGGCAAAGCAGGCGCAAACTATCGAACTAAATGAGCATAAGGAGAGAGAGAGATCAATGACATCGACGCGCCTTCCCAATTGTAGCGTATCCTGAATGGAATGAGTGGCAATTGAATACGAAGAAAGCAAGACTTGCGAGGAAGCTTCCCGATATTCGAAAAGTTGGTGTCGACGGTAACCTTTTTGCTTGTGAACAAAGGGAATGGTCAAGCGGAACAAACGAACACCAGTATACCTGGACCTCATCAGTTCAGTTCAGCTCTCTGTCAATTGAGCTTACTTGAGGAATTCAATCAAAGATCTCTTGGTGAAAACGATGTTGGAGTTGTCCCAGTCAAGCATCCCTACGCGTCGTCAGCGTTGAACCCAGATGGGAAGAAATCAATTCGCACCAAGATTGGCCGGCCAGTCTTTTTCCTTTGAAAAATCGAGAGTAGTGTGAGTGAAACTACGATCGGTTTAGTCATGTTTCGCTAAAGAAAATGGGCCAGCTCACGAAGTGGCAGACATGATGGTCGTTGAGGAAGCAGTGAAGAAGTCACGATCCCGCGTGATGGCTTCCATCTGCTTTCGACGGGCTTTCTCATCTCAATGTCGCGGTTATTCGACTGCAGGCAGGGCCCTTGCTTCAGACATTTATTTAGATCCAGCTCATGCTAGAGATCCTTCCATTACTACAACACCGCACGATATTTCTCCTCTACAAAGAGCGACATTGGACGGCGCATTACGGGTCGACCAAGCTGGAGAAGTGGCTGCCAACTGGATTTATCGAGGTCAATTATTTGTATTGGGACGAGACCCCACTGCTGGGCCTATGATACAGGTTCGAACACGTTATTTCTCGTCAAATATTGCTATATTATTCTCAGGAAATGTGGGACCAGGAAAAGAAACATTTGGCGGTGATGAACAAGATGCAAATTCAGCATAGAATACGACCGACAATACTTTCCGACGTCGCCAAGGTCGCTGGATTCGGTCTGGGAGCTGTGACTGCCTTGATGGGCAAGGAAGCAGCCATGGCCTGTACTGAAGCAGTCGAGACGGTTATTGGCGAGCATTACGATGAGTCAGTGGTTCGTTGAAGACACCTTCTCCAGCTGACGAATCTGAAGCCAACTGAAGGAAATGGAATCTTTACCGACTGAT